CAAGTTCCTTACAGTCACCAGAGTTTGGAAAGAGAAGGCAACAAACACCTTTCTGCCTCAAGCCAGAAGATGGAAATGAGGAGTTATCAGTGACAGTGGCTTTTTAAAGGAGGCAACACATTCTTTCTTTTTCTAACCTAACTAGCTGAACTTGTTTCATCTCTTCATGTAAGATGTCAGAAACAATCCAGACAGAGGCGGGAGGAGGAAGGATGGGGTTCACATTGACGTAGGTTTAAGAACAAAGGCCCAAAAAGTGTGATGAGTAATGCAGTCAGCATCTATGCTATCTTGATGGCACATACAGAAGCAGCATTTAAATTACATGCTCTACCCATGCATTTTGGTTTAATATACCAAAATGCATGGGTAGAGCTTGACAAGTTGTGATTTAGAGTTGTTTCCTTGTCTTCCAAGCAGTGTGTAATTGTTACCATAAATCAACTTTACACCAGTAAGGAAACTGCAGGATTTTGCAGAAACTCATAAGGAAACATTTGACAAACTATCCTAATGGACAAGACCTAGTTGTGGGAACCTAACTTTGAGCAATAAAGGATTTACATCAACACAGTTTAAAATCTATTGTTAACTTTTGAGTTTAGTTTGCAGCTGTGAAATTTTTAAGACTATATTTTATGAAATATATAACACTGACAAACCTGGAGATTCACAACTTAATCACATCTTTATCGCTTCAGCTTAAATACAAACATGATACTGCCCTTTGTTAAACAGTTTGTTGTTTGCAACCAGCAATTACTGAGTCAATACAGGGGAATACAGGAGAATAATTTCCTTAAGGAATGATCCTACTGATAACATTCATTGGCAAAAATGTACTTCTGCTGTCAAAAATGTACTTTTGATATCAGATTTTATACTTAGTGATATATTTCTTATTCAATCTAGGATTATAATGTCTTGACAGATCTCTTATTTTCTGACACTCTTTTTATGTGTGCGAAAATGTGCGTAGAAAGAAATGAAAGCTACGCAAGCAAATCTAATTTTAGGTGAAGTACCTAAAAGTACCTATCAGGAAAAGCATGGCAGTTCATTTTTTTAGACACCTTCATTCCTGCCATGACGTAAAAGATGACTATCATGAACCACAAAGTCATATTTTTGGAAGTAATCTATTACTTACTGAGCAACAGCAACTAAATGAATTAATATAAAAAGGCAGAGGCAATTCTTTGTTATCTTAACAATATAGACTACAGGGGCCAGCATGGTTGGACCAAAGTTTAACTGCTGATGCGAGGTTGGGTGTTTGTTTTTGCATAGATCTTTCACAATCCACAAGATGCACAAGCCACTGCAGTGTACGTCATGTTTTGTTGTTTGTTATATACAACAGCAGAGTAAATACAACGATCATGGCAGAGAGGAACAACTTCTACAAGTTTGGAGGAGGAGGTTGGAAAAAATTATTATTTTTCATGTCAAAAAAAAAAGGCATCTGTGAGGTGTCCTGCTGCATCAGACGAGAACTGAGCAGGGGGAGTCTAATATTTCAGTAAGTAGCTACTTCCTCACGCCATCAAACAATTGTTCCTCAATATCTACTCTCTTACTGAAAAAACTGTGTTTTGACTGTCTATGCTAACGAACTTCTAAATGAAAGTTGAGAATTATTTTCTGCATAAATAAACACATCTACGAAATTCAGACCAATCACACAATAGGTGTGCAAGAAGAGGAGGATGAAAGGTTCGTCAGGGAGTTGTGACAACAAGGGGCAGATGATATGAACACAATAATGTGATTTTTGTCATGTATGCTGTGACAATGTGAACTGATTTTGGCAGTTCAGCTCGGCCACTTCTTGCAAAGTTTGATAAGGTTAACACGTTTACATTTGCATGTAAAAACTCAATGTCTCGTATTAAAACTAAAAATCATTTATGTGAGTTAATACTCTACAAAACAACACATGCAAATTTAAGTAGGTATTCCATGCAAATGTAATGAAGAAAAGAGCACATTTGCAAGACCATTTATGTTTATGTTGGACCAAAGTTTAACTCCTGATGCAAAGTTGGATGTTTGTTTTTGCTCAGATCTGTCACAATCCACAAGATGCACAAGCCAGCCTGGACTTCAGGGTTTCCCCCAGAAAACTTGCTAAGCCCGGTGGTCAGGGCGCCAAGGTGGTCTACCGTGTTTTGTATTAAAAATGCTAAGTAGGCAGGAGAAGTAAAAATATTACTGGGTAATTATATGTTACGGGAAAACATCACCAGTGAAACCCACAACTAGTCTTAAAAACAACTATTCAAAAAATACAATTAAAATTTATATAAATTTGCACTTCTGTTAAATCCAAATTAAGTCAGTGGCTCCAAAAGGCCCCCCAGACCTTCAGGGACCCATAAATGCTAATATTTTTACACAGACCACAGATATATAAATGCAGCATTTGTTTATTGAGATTATCAATGCTGCTGAATTTGATATAATGGTTTCAGCATACATAAATTAAACTATTTAAATTGGTTAACATTTAAATTTAAGATTTTAAGGAGCTGGCAAGTTTACTTGTTAACGTGTAAGAATCACAAACTGTTGTGGTTGCTCAAGTTTGAGGGACGAGTTTTTCAGATCTCCGTGCGGCCGCGTGCATTAACTCTGGCTAACTAAGTAGACAAAGCATTTGTTAAGGTTTGGTGCACCGTTTCACCGGAAAAATACTAAAAACAATAATAAAATAATATAAAACCAGCGTGGTGCGTGACTACGAGGCGAGCGCGAAAGCTCCTCACCGGGCTGAAGCTGCATGATGAGGTTGGCGCTGGTTCGTTAACCACTAACGTTCCGGCCAACCGGGACCATAGACATAACCTTTACAGGGAAGACAGAGCCAAACTCTGGACGGCGTGTTGAGATGTAAACGTCGCATATAATTCTGTCCTCAAAGATCAATCATTCTCACCGCTCGCTCAACGCGCAAATGGCTGCAAACAGATGCGAGACTACAAGTTATTCCTGCGGTTCACATAGAGCTACGCAACCAGAGCTAACGCGGTTCGTTTTGAACTCTTACCTTGATATAGAGTTATCCAAAGAAAAATAACTACCCACACTGGGTTGATGTAAATGTCCATACAGGTCAGCATGTGTCCAGTTCGAGTGAAAGGAGGCGCGCGGGATCCGCGCTGAGGTTAACTTAATAAAGCAGCAGCAGCGCGCGAGGCAAGGCGCAGAGGCGCCAGCTGTGTGATTGGTCCGCACTCGGCTTTAATTGCATAAACTATAAACCTTTTAGAAATAAATCTGCTTCGCGGGTGAAACGCTCAGAACAGAGATGCTTGCAATCCGGCTTAAAGATTTATCTAAAGAAAAAAATAAATAAATAAAATAAGCGACCCCCCTTCCACCCCCCATCTAAAAATAAAAACAAGCAACGCTTAGCATGGCGGCCGCCAGGCTTATAATACACTAGGGGAAACCCTGGACTTCCATATAAAAGTTTACACCCTAAGTAAGCCCAGGCCATTCATTCCTTTCCATCTTAATACGTCATGCTAGTACTGTTACCACAACATGCCAAAGGTGGTCTCTTGGATTGAGATAGGGTTGATATACAGGGAACAACAAACGACAGCAAAAGCAACAGTTTTCCACTATTCAGGCTGATCTAAATACATAAAATGTGATAGCAACAGCAGTGACAAAAGTTGAACATTTTTCAACTTTCTTGTGTAATTTTGTTGGCCTTTGTGTACGTGTGCGAGCTCAACATTTCACATAGAACAATTTTGCTGATCGCTTCCCTGGAGTATGGAGAGCGATTGTCGATTCATCGCGCAAGATCCATAGGAAATGAATGGAGAGGGATTGATGTGGTTCCCTGTGTGTTGAGCCTTTAACTGTGGAGGCCATGGGAGCACAGATAGCTCATTATTCTTTTCAAGAAAACAGTTCGTGATCATATGAGTTTTGATCATATGATCAAAACTCATATGATCTCA